GAAACCTGATAATTTTTGTGCTGCTTATTTTCTTCCCAACAATTCCCTTAAGACGTTACATCATATATGCAAATTTTACCAGTGACTGGAAGTCGTGATCAAATGGTGCTCAATGAATATGAGCCCAATATGGGCCTGATGGTAATGCTGTAATTGAGACCTAAAAATTAAATGTTGTAAAGGCCACGCCCCTCACAGCCAAAGTCTGATTGGCTTAAAATATAACGTAAGTCCGGCTCAATGTGCTCTCCAAAACAGCCCCAAGAACCATTAAGGCCCACCTGACTAGATTTTCCACCTCACACCTCCTGAAACGTAAGTCTGATTTATACCAAATTTTCTGTGGATCATTATTCAACCCACTCTTTCAAAAGACATCAAAAGCTTGGTCATATCTCGTAACATTTTAAAGACACTGACCAATTAACTTCAAAAGGGATGTGGCTCAGCACATAAATCGACCTAACTTTACAATCGTTGGGCTGTAGGATATTTTCACATAAGTACCTGAAACATACTCAAGTATTTCATTCAAACCGACCACTGGGGGGTGTTTCAAATATCAAACCACATGTGTAAAATTATTTTGGATTTAATCAGCGAGGGGCGCCACCAGTTCCAAACAGGTTCATTGGCTTTGCACAATTTCTGGCCATAAATCAATGATGCTTTGTCCAAACATCCTTAAACTCTGAATATTTTAAAGGAAGCATGTCCCCAGAATGTTTTTGAAACTGACCAATGGTGGATGATGGCGTTGCCAAATAAGGGTTTGGACCTGCAGAGATTTGAGCATAAATGAATGAGCCTCTGTCTGACTGTCATAAAACCTGTTGGTTATCTTTGATACAGGTGTCATAAATTGTCAAAACTCTTATTTCTTCAAAGCTTTCAACTTCTAACAGTCCATGCTGGCTTGAACCGAACCAGAATTGCCACTGTTTTGTATGTTTGTTATTCTGTGGCATGAACAGAAGGAACAGAACTGCAACAGCAGGTCACACAAACTTGAGAACAAAAACGCTTTTTTAGAATCGTCACTTTCCTCCTACATCTATGAAAAAGCCAGAATAACGGTTTTGTTCTTCAAGATTTTTGTTTTTGAAATTATCACCAATGTCCCCCCCAACTTCCACCCACCCCTCACTCTTCCCTCCATCACATTTTCCCCAGACATCATTTATCCTTCCTCAGATGAATAGGACAAGAGGGTGTGAGGGGGCGGGGGTGGGTCCCTTTAGATCTCACCCAGATGTGTCCTTTAATCCTGTAATTAGCTGCAATTACAGTAATAGAAGCAAGAGATGAAGTGATCATATTTGCACACTGAATTAATTCATGTAATCATGCTATATGATGAATAACGTTTCTTTCAGACACTTTTCCACTTGCTCGCAGGATACGTTTTATCTGCTCCCCCAGTTCCCGCTTCGTTCTCCTCATTCTCCTTATCTCTCCTCACAATTCTCCACCTACACTCGTCTATCCCACCCCCCCCACCTCCTTCCCCCTCCCTCTCATTGTCCTAGGTGTAATTCATCTGGTTACCATCCTGAAAAGCAATGGAAACAGAAGGGGGGGAAAAAAGAAAGCACAAGAGACAACAGAGCAGGATAGGACACAACAAGAGCCCCTTTAGATGTTGCAGATGATGCCTTTAATCCTGTCAATAGCTGCAATTATAGTAATTATCTCTAATAGCAGTGCATTGTGTTGAGCCTCTGATATGTTTAACAGATGATGCAGAGTCGTGCCGCCTCAGCTGGGCAGAGGGCAGGGAGCTTAGATTCGCATTAATGAAACAGACACAAAACAAGGCGAAACTGATGATTGTCCCAGGAGGTTTATAAACTGCGGAGAGTGTTTTTCAAGCTCTGGGTCGAGGTCTAATGGAGGTCTCAGAGATGGTACTGAGTGGTCTTTTTACTGTGCACAAAGAGAGGAGATACTGAAGATTGATGTTCGCAGGTAGAGAGGTCTTGGGAGAAAATAGAGGCAATTATACGGGAGGAAAATGCTGCCAAAATAAGATGTGCTTGTGTTAAAAGATGTGTAAGGTTGTAAAATGAGTTGAAAGCTGGCAGCTAAAATGCAACATATATTCTCAATCGGGCTGTAAAGCTGCTGTTAGAGATCTGGGAAATATGTTCAGCGAAGAAAGGTGTTCTGTGACATCAGCCATCATCTAAATACCAATTCATATCAGAAATGTTACAGATGTGCTAATGTTGTTTACAGCCTCACAAAATGATATCTGTGCACGCTCTCTTAGATGTACACAGAGAAGCATGTCACAGCCTTTAGGTGTTTGACAGTAAATGTATGAATGCCAACAATATTTTTTGTCATTTATCAAACAAGATGTCTCTTGACGAAGATGTCTCAACACTCTCTATTTCAGCTTCTCAAATGCACAAATTGTCCGGTCTTTGCTTTTTTCTTTTCCTTTCTTTTTTTCCAGGGATGCACAGATTGATCAGACCAACATTGGTGTCTAAAAATTTCTGCTTCAATTGCTGCCCAGCCTATCATCCAATAAGGTGACATCCACCAACAACAGAAAACATGTTTGGAACCAACAGAGATTTTCCCTTCGAAGAATTTGGGACGAAAGGATGCAGTAAACTCACCATCAGCGAGTCAGGAGACGCACCCTATAGCCCCCCTGATAATGCTACCTTGTGAGAAACAAATATGTGTTGACATCGACAGAACGAGGGCTAGCTGACGTTAGCTGTTAGCAGCCGGTGACCGGAACTAACAGCTCACGGAGGTTGCGATGCCTTCAAGCTCTATTCAGTAAAAATGAGTATTGGTGAAGGTAAATTACAACATTATTATGATGTGTAAAAATGTAGCAGTAATTTATAGATGTTTTCATGATTGAATTTGTGCTGATTCAAAGAGTGTAACTGTAGTGACTAGCCTATACTTTAGCCGCTACTGGTTGCTAATTGGCTGAATTGTTTGGACGAGTACTCAGAGAATTACTCCCAATCTTTACCCATGCTGTAAATCACCATTTATTTATTTTTCACAATTGTCCGTATAACTTCCGATAACTTTAAACACAAACTTCAAATAAACGACATCCATGTAATTTTTACTCCGAGCAAAGTGGAAAACTGTTTGCCTCCTTACTTCAGCAACAACTGTGCTTACTGGGATGAACTTAAATACCATGGCCTGCCTCAGCCCGTGATATAAGCCACCTAGTGGCGTGGCGGAACGCTACATTTCACACAAATCGAATATATGGCTCCAACAGTAAGGAAGAGTTGAATGACTTTTAAATGATTCATGTGTTTTCAAAATGAAAATTGGTGCATCCATACAAAAAAAACCAACTGTCTGGTTTTAAACATTTTTCAATCATTCAAAAAAAAAAACAAACCAAAAAAAAAAAAAGTTAATTGCTGCCGTGTGAAGCCCAAGGTCCCTAAGGTTCACATTTGTGGAAAAAAGGCAGAGGCTAAAATACTTTTTGTAAATTAATCAAAATAATTATTGATAAACTATTATAAATGACCAAAATATGACTTTAATATAAACCCTGTTACATTATACAACTCTACAATTGATGATGTGCATCAGAGTGCTCCTGAGTGTGTGTATATTCTGTTCTTACCCAAGAACAAATAAAATAAGAAAATATTAGTGAATGTCAGAATCTTTGTGAAAACTGCGTAAGTGCGTTTTAAGAAGAGCTTTCTTGGTGAATGAGGCCTAATGTTGTCGGACACAAGAGGAAAGTGTTTCCTTAAGTCTGTTTTTTTGTCTCTGCTATGGGCTCTGAAGTTAGGCTGCTGTCCACTCTAAATTTATCCCTATCCCCGATCAACACTGTTTCATCGCCCAACCCTAATTCTGATTCATTCCTACTTGTGACAAGAAAAAAAAAATCTGTCCTGAAAAGCTGAGGCTTACACACGTGTTCACACACTTACCAAAGCACTTATATCACTCTCTCACTAACACATTTTCTACACATGCACACACACACTTACTCCTGATTTCACACATTCTCTCTTACACACACATTCAGAAACTTCAGAAAACACACTATCACTGACTCCTCACACACACACACACACACACTTTTCATCACTCGCTAATTCACTCTCTTTCTCACACACTCACTCAAAAACTCACCAACTTATACAAGACCACACATTCCTTTGTGCGTGCGCACACACACACACACACACACACACACACACTAATAGCCCTGCCAGGTCTTGGTGTGAGGTAGCTCCTTGATGCAGTGATATAAGAGGCAGACAGGAGGCAGAGAACGGGTCAATAATTCATTAGATAGAGGGCTCAACTCAACTTCAACCCGAATAAACTGTCTATAACCACACACACACACACACACACACACACACACACACACACACACACACAGAGTCACAATCACAATCTATCTCTCTATCTCACTCACGCCCAAACATTGTCTCAAGGACTGTCAGGGGATAAGTCTCTCTTCCACTTTCCTCTTTTCTCCTTCCACAGGAATTTGCACTCACTTCTACAGTAGATTGCTGCTCATATCTAATTTTATATGAGTGCTCATATCTATTCCTGGATGTAACTCAAATTTGATACCAATATGACCTGGCAGCGATGATCTTAAAAATAGGTTTTCATCATACTTTTAAACAAACGTCCCGCCTTTGAGTCCTGATTGAACTGATGCACCTCCATCGATAACAACATTCAGTTTCTTTATTGCAAAACTATCAACACAAATGTATATTCTGTTTGGTCATATTTTAGCCCTGGATTGCTTTTGGTTACTTTTTTTTAAAGTAGATATTTAACAAGCATTGTTGAAGGGAGTCTGAAGCCGAAGGTTTTCAGTAAGAACTTTTTGGTTGAGCACAGAGGAGGATAAAGAAACTGAATCTGAAGTATGCAGACACTCAAGCCAGTAACCTGTACCGTGACCTTGTTAAGTGTCCACCGGGTGTGATCAATATAAGGAGTCTTTGACTGACCTCGTAGAGTGTGATGACGCCATTGGTCTCGTTGGGAGCTTTCCACTGCATGAAGATCTTCTCTTCGTAGGGCGTATTCTGCAGAGACTCCATCGGCACTGAGCCAGGCACTGCAGAGACAAAGAGCACACACAACATCGTATAAATGTATTTACTGTCTGTATGGAATGCAACTAAAGCCTTGGCAACAACTGTGTAACTATATACCTTACACTATAAAATCTGAAGCACATTAACAGTGTGATGTGTGGGACTTTCTGCTTAATCTAGCTGATGCCGGATTTACACCAAACAACTTGTGAAGCGATTTCACTGTCTCAGGCAAATCCCCAATGTCAGAATGAAATCATGAGTATTTGAACTCAGTTGGTGCACGTTACCATGATGTCGATCATTTGGTGTAAGGCGGACATGTTCACACACCACCGGTCATCTGTACCCTTTGACCCTCCCTGACAGCGGGCTTGCATATGACAGACACACAGTCTCCATCCTCCAGTGTTAAACGTTCATAAATATAATACTTGTGATACAAATCAAGCAGCCTGCATGTGAACACAGAGAGCACATGGGAGCGGTTATAGAAGAGAGGGCAGAATGAAAGGAGAGAGCAAAGAAAATAAAAGGAAGGGTTTTTTTTAATCACTTAATTCTGTTATTTGGTGTAGCAGAAGTTTGAAATATCTGGGGACCTACTCATCAGAAATATTAAGTTACTGAAAATCTAATTTTGAGCTTTTTCCCTGTGAGGCAGAATGAAACCTGCTGCTTGCTCTAGAAAATTTTATCATGAAGGACGTTGGCAGCAATTATGTATGACAGCGTATTCCATTATATTTCTTATATTCTGAAAGGGCTGAAGTCTCTTTTATACGTATCAGGCTACTTTCTGAAAATTAACTACTGTCCAAAGCTGATTTGCATCACACAGACTGTTGATTCAAGTTATAAGAAACTATACAAAGAAATGTGGCTGAGAAACAGATATTAAAAGTGACACTTAATAATATATTTCTCTTTTACCATGAACGTACTTTCAGTTGATCTGGAGCTGTATTTAATTACATGGAAATGTTGTAGATTATTACTTTGCACTAAATGTCATTTCCTGATGACTGCAGCGAGAGTCATCAGCGCCTCTGCTGCGATCATAATCAACTTTTTGAAAACACGTCGAGCGGAGTTTGACTGTGAGTTTTGACTCTCAGGTATCGCTTTAATATTGAGCAGCTCAGCTGTAATTTGTGAGATTAGGCGAGTCACATCCTAAACAGGAGACAGACAAGATGTAATGATGTCGTGTAGAGATGAAGCTTGTCGACATTGAATAATGCAACTGCTGAGACACAACGACAGCAGCCATGCTGATTTTCTTGGGCTGCGGGCACATATTCTAACTCACCGCTGGGAGCCCTACACTCAGATCAAACTCATTTGGATGGAGTACCTCAAACCAAAAGTCTATTAGCTTACAAAGTCAATCACTAATTCAAAGTCAATGGACCAACTGTCTCCTGCCAGGGGAAAACTTTCACCTGATGTCTGGATGCTCTGAATTCCATTTTAGGGAGGCTCAGTGCAGTTAGTATTTGCACAGTGACACCTTTTTTACCTGTTGTGCCGACTCTTTAATCAACCACTCTGCACTTGGAATGAAACGACGACTTTGAGATTAAAGTGTCAACTTTAAGCTTTAAATTGATGCAGTTCAAAGGACAGATAAGCACTGCAGGAATGTAGTTATTTTTTGTAGTCCCCCAATTTTAGGTGATAAAAATTATTGGACAAAATAACAAACTTTGCAAAAGTTTCATGTTTAATATCTGATGGCAGATCTTTAACCACCAACAGACATCTGGTGTCCTTCCTGTTCATGACTTGTAATGCAGCCATCGTCATTGAAACTGGTGTCTGAAATGGGACTGATTGGAACAGCATTTCTGAGATCTGTCCACATGAATACCCTTACTCCTTATTGCGTACCACCACTTCCCAAGGTTGAAAGTCTAGGTATATACGTACCCCTAAACACCTGCCTAACTGCCTCTCTGTGAACACATATTGAGGTTAAAGGTCCAGTGTGCAGGATTTAGAGGGATATATTGGCAGAAATGGAATATCATATGATAAGTGTGCTTTCTTTAGTGTATAGTCACCTGAAAATAAGAATCACTGTGTTTTTGTTAGCTGGGAATGAGCCGTTTATATCTACATAGGGAGCGGGCCCTCTTCTGCAGAGATTACCGTGTTGCACAGCCATGTTTCTACATTAACCCATTATGGATAATCCAGATTTTAGGTAGGGTAATTTGTGGTTTTGCATTGGCACCACAGTTAGCAATCCCTGCACAACACGAGCATCAGAAAAACACCAATTTTTTTTAACGTGAAAATACTTATTTTAGTGTTTTCATCGGTTTAAATCACCTGGTCAGTTTGTTTTGGAGAGGAAGAGACCTCTGTGGATAATTCAAGGTAAAAACTTCCTGACTGTTTGGATCTTAAGTTATCAGCAAAAAAGGTGAGCACACATTAGCAGATGTTAGGCTAGCGGCCCATCTCCAAACATCATGCCAAACAGCATCGGAGGAACACCGATTTGTACTGCTTCAGTCAGTGTTTTTACTGGTTTAAATCACTGGGTCCATTTGTTTTGGAGAGGAAGCAACCTCTGTGGCTAATTCAGCTTACGGTAAAAATGAACACTGAAGGAATTCTACCCTGCAGAAGTTTCAACTGGTTGCAATCAGCAGTACTCATCGCTAATAGCCACTAAATTCCCCCTAAACCTTCCACATTGTTCCTTTAATACTGAGAAAACAGAGCTGAGAATGAACTTGTTAAAATGGATGACAACACCAAAAGAAAAGCAAAAACCAAAGGACCAGGTGGACACTTTAGCAACTGATGAGGGTTTCTTCATGAATGCTCTTGCTGCTTTATTGCACCATTAGGAGTTAGCTGCGGATCACACTTTGAGACATTCGGTCAGAGGCGTAAGGTAGTTACAACAGGCCCCAGTGCACGCTATTATGACGCACCCAAAGGCATACTGGTGACTTGTTATATGCCTTAACTAGCTACCGCGTAATCTTATGGCCACATGATCACATAGAGACTTGACATTTGATAATGCCAACATACATATTACCCAGAAATCATCATCACACACATATGACAAAAGGTCTAAGGTAGCAAAAGCCTGTTTTCTCCCTCTATGGGCCCCCTCACCCCATGGGCCCCAGTGAAAGTGCTCTGCCTGCACTGTCTATATTTATGCCCCTGCTTTCAGCACTAGTTGCCTCAGCACCAGCACTGAGCCTCCCCTGTCAGCTTCCAACGACTCTGGCAGCAGTGACACTTCACACGTTGGGCACAGTGCATCTGACTGCTGGTCGAGGGACCAAGTTGACTATTTCTGCAAGGCAGATGATGGGCTCATTGTGAGAGATAAGAAGCTTGGATGCCAGATTTGCAGAGAATTGTTGGGAGAACACAGTTGGTTTTATTGTAGCATGGATGTAATAATATATTTGTGTACAGTTTGATTTGTATCAACAGCTTAAGAATTAAAGTTTTTATGAACCAAATATTCTCAAGATGGCCGTCTTTACTGTCACTGACAGTGATTTGGTCCATATGGTAAGAGACTCCAATACACCAGTGTTTCACCTACAATCAGTACTCAAATGTTTGCTGAAAACACATTTGAAAAAAGCTAACTGTTGGTCCCCTAAAATTTAAGAGAGAACTGTAGAATATACTGTACAAAACTGTAAAGTGAGACTATATAGAACTGAAAATCAGCACTTTATGCAGTTGTCATGTTACATTCAAAATCCAATGTGTGGGAGTTAAAAGGAAAAGAAAGGATAGTGTCACATGCAGACACTTATGGAAAGCACTACACTTGAATCTGTAGATATTTACTGTACAGCATCACTGGGTGAATTACCAGCAGGATAACTGGAGGACAGGTAAATACCTGCCCCAGGGTTATTCAGAGCAGCGGCAGTACACACACATCTCTCAGCTCAGTCACACGGCAAGGTGCAGACAGGTTTACTACTGAGCCCAGACACTTGACTCATTATGGTAAAATCTACCTAGTAACAGCAGTGCGCATGTGTTTGCGTGTTTTCAGGATGAGACAGGCTTTCACACATCTTAATAAAGAGGTGTCTGACACCTTGTCAGGGAGTGATGCTGTCAAACTGTTAAAAACACACACAAAGTTACACCACTTCACACACAAAAACACACCCGCACACCTCCCACTAAACCCAGAACACAATGGTACTTGTGCCCGCTGAGGGGTGTGAATTGTTCTAAATGTTAAGGAGACAGACTGTGCCAGGAGGGACAACTGACTGCGATGTGTTAAAATGAATGTGTGTGTTTTTGTGTGTGCGCACTACCTGACTTCACCTCTCACTTCTTATTTTTGTTCATCATGTTCCTCCTCCTCTTTGTGATCACTCGGAACTCGCAAAACTATTTTCTGCTTGTGATCTCTGACATTTATTGTGTTTGCTGTTAGCTGTTCATACTCTTGGTCAGGGCTGGACTGGGCCTCCGGCATACCAGACACCTTCCTGACTTATTCTGTCTGTCCAGCCTATAAAACAGGTCTATCTCTAACCCATTGATTTTTACCTTAATTAACGCTGGGCTGGTCCAATCACATCTTTATACCCTCCCTGTTTTGGCTCAAAGCCCTCATTAAAGTGCCAAGTGGATGAGACAAAATGCAGGAGAGGCGCTGAGAAACTGCAGACCAAAAAAAGACTTGTGACAGACTTTTCAGACACTCTGCCTCGTTTCCAACAAACACTTTCAGTATGGTACCTTTGCAACCGAGAGTAACCTTTCAGATGTGGTACTGAGACCCTGAAGTTTCCATTTGAGTTGTTGTCCATTGTTGCCAGTCATTTTGTTCTGTCATCATGGCTGGACTGGGACAAAAAAGTCAGCCCTGGCATTTTGGCCCAGTCTGGCTCACCACAATTGATCAGGACAATGGAAATCATATCCATCCATCCATCTTCATCCGCTTATCCGGGGCTGGGTCACTGGGGCAGCAGGCCAAGCAAAGAACCCCAGACGTCCC